TTCTGGGTGCCGCGGGAGCGCGCTCGTCGAGGCGCCCGCCCTGCAGGATCTATCAGGGTGGGGCCACCCCAGCGGTCTGGGAGCGTCTGTTGACGGGCGCCGGCTACCTGTATTCAGGGCGGGCAGGCCTGGACCACCGCACCCGACGATAGCGACGTTCTGCCGGAAATTGGGATCCAGGAGGAGGAGGAGGAGGAGGAGGAGCGAGGAGGGGCGAGGAGGATGGGAGGAGCGAGAGTGCGAGGAGTGGGAGGAGCGATTTTGCGAGGAGCGAGGAGCGAGGAGAGGAGGAGGAGCTAGAGAGGAGGTAGGAGGAGGAAGAGGAGGAGGAGTAGGAGGCGGAGGAGGAGGAGGAGGAGGAGGAGGGGTAGGCATCGAGAGGAGGAGGAGGAGGAGCGAGGAGGAGGAGGAGGAGGAGGAGGAGAAAACGAACCTCGAGCCTCGATCTTCGAACCTCGAACGCCAGCGTCGAGCACTTCGTGCTGGTAGGGACTGGCCCCGGGTGGGAAGCATCGGGCCCTGACGTACCAGTATTGTCGGTGGGGAGAGGCATGGGCCGAGCTGTGAGGTTCTCGAGTCGGAGTAGCTGGCAAGTGGAGGGGGGAGGGAGGAGGGATTGCGAGGGAGGAGGGAAGTGCCAAGAGGGAGGACCGATGAGGGGAGAGGGAACATCGGAAAAAGAGGAGACATGACGTCGGGATGCGGGTGGAGGGAGGACGCAGGATGGACGGCACACATCGCACACGCGTCGATTATTGAATCTACACGCGAGCGCGCTGCAACGCGAGACCAACTCCCTCGCTGGAAATCGAACAGTGCTGCAATTTTGACTCTGCCTGGCAGCGTGGTGGACAGGCTCTCTGCTGGCAGAGTATCTCCCAGGTAAAACGTTCAACCGATCGTGAAGGAGCACGAGCACTGCGAGGAACACCCTGGACACCTCGTGCGGCGCGCAGTAGTTCTACCATCCAGTCCACACGTCCGCCCCGTCAGATATGGGACGACGTTCGCACGGCGATGTTGCGACGTAAATCCGGCGTGGATCCGACGAACATTGAAGATTCAAGTTGCCTCCTGAACTTTCGACAGATGTCCAGGAGCAGGAGGAGGCGCAGGATGAGCTGTGCCACCAGCAGGGGCCCGCAGAGCACCGCGCCTCTCTTCGGCCGGCGGCGCTTGAGCGCGAGGAGGACATCGCCTCTCGCTGCCTCGCAGCGCGAAGCGCAAAGTTCTTACTCTGAATAGGAAGGGTGCTCGCGCGAGTCCTGTGCGGAGGCCATGAGCGGGGGACCTCGTGCGTCTTGCGCGGGGCCCTTGTGCTTGTCCTTGGGCTCAGACCTCTCCTGGCCACGCGCTACTGTGCACAATACCCCTTGTGCGCTTCTGGCGCTGGAACTATTCGCTCCGGCTCTCTTTCTGTTAAAAATTGGGGGTGCACAGAGGGGTAGGAGGAGGATGCTGGGTGGTGTGTGGTGCCGCAGGGGCCATTCTTTGTGAGTGCCCGCCGTGTCGGGCCAGGACGGTGCAGGAGAGACCTAGCTGTGGCAAACCGCCCCCCTGGAGTTACCCGCGGCGCGCCTTCGACGCTCCGTTGTTCCCCCTCCCTGCCCCCCTCTCCCCCCCCTTCGCCCCTTGCCTTATGATGTCCCAACCTACTTTAGCCTGGATCACCAGAAAGAATTTCGAGCACCAGAAAAAAAACCGAATTTCGAGGTTCTCACGTGTCTGGCCCTGGGAGACACTCGTTCGACACTGTTTCGACACTGTTTCGACACTCTTTCGACACTTCCGGGTGCTCGAAATTACTTTTGGGATGTGGTCCTTAAGTACGATGGGAGCAACATAACCCTTGCCTGCCCGTTCCGTTCTGCGTGCTTTCGGCGCCTCGTCCCGCCGCCGCGTGCTCTCGGTACTTTTCTTCCCTCTGCTTTTGAGGCGGTGTTTGGAGAGGTGGTGAAGCGCGTGGACAAGACGAATTCGCTCGGCCCCGTTCCCGAGTATCGCCACGAGGGCGGGCTGACCCATGAAGCAATGGAGCACGTGAGACGGGGACCGGGAGCTCGTTGGGAATCTATCATGCAACCATCGCTCTGCTCCAGCGCCTGCTCTACCACCTTCTGCCGTCATCACCCGTCAGCGGGTGTTTGCAAGCAAGGGCGCGATCTTCTCGTTAAGTTTTCAACGGCTGCATGTTTTCCATCGTTCCCCAAACGGTTCTCACCCTGAGTGGCTCTTGTGATCGTTTTCCTTTGAGGTTGCTTGACAACGAATCTGAAAAGATTCGTTGTCGAGTGGGGGGTCGTCCACCTTCTTTTGCTTCTTTATATATTATAATTATGCGTTTTCTCTATCTCTCTCTCTATCCCTCTCTCCTCTCTCTCTCTCTTCCTCTATCTCTCTCTCTCTCTCTCTCTCTCTTTTCTCCCTCTCTCTCTCCCTCTCTCTCTCTCTCTACCATTTTCCTTTCTCCCTGTGGGAGGCGGAAGAGGCGAGAGGAGAGGGGCAATGGGGGAGGGAGAAAAGGGGAGGGGAGGGAGGGGGAGGGGCAAGCTAGGTGCGCGCGCGTCATATCTGACGTCCTACCCCTCCCTCCCATCCCTTACCATGGCGCTGATTTTCTCTATCCGCGGACTAGTGGGTGGTGGTGCGCGTGCGTGCGTGCGTGCGTGCGTGTGCGTGGTTGTGGTGGTGGTGGTGGTGGTGGTGGTGGTGTTGGTGCTGGTGCTGGTGGTGGTGGTGCTGCTGCTGCTGGTGGTGCTGGTGGTGCTGGTGGTGGTGGTGGTGGTGGTGGTGGTGGTGGTGGTGGTGGTGGTGGTGGTGTGTGTGTGTGTGTGCGTGTGTGCGCGTGTGCTTTGGCATGGCACGGGAAATGACGCCAGCGCTGCAGCGGGAGCACGAGTCGGAACGAGCGGAAGCGCGGAAATGAGGCCAGCGCTGCAGCGGGAGCACGATTCGGAACGAGCGGAAGCACGGAAATGAGGCCAGCGCTGCAGCGGGAGCACGATTCGGAACGAGCGGGGCCCGAAAATGAGGCGGGCGCCTCGGCGAGAGCGAAAACCCGTTTCCCGGGAATCCTGTGTGTAAAAAAACAATACGCGGGGGGGGGGGCCGGATATCTTCGGGACGCCATCAGGGGGAGTGGGAGAGTATATACATATATGGGAGATCCCGGGCCCCGGGCCCCGGGCCGGAACCTCCCTTGTATATAGGGTGCGGCCCTCTCCCGGGGCGCCCTTCCGGCGGCCCCCGCGCGTTCCAGCCCGCCCAAGAGGGCTTCAGGAGCGCCGAGAGAACCCCAGGATCGCTTCAAGACCGCCACAGATCGCTTCCAGAAGGGTCAAGACGCGCTCAAACCGCCCCAAGAGGCCTTCAAGAGGCCCCCCACGAGCGCCCCGGGAGACCAAAATGGCCCCATTCCCTTCGTAAAACGTACATTTTTACGATATCAGCTCCCTTAGCTGTCGGAGCGGCCAGAAAGCCCCACGAGGCGCCCAAGGACGCTCCAGGACGACTGAGGACAGCCCCAAGACGGCCCAGGAGGGCCTCCCGGGACGCTCCTCCGGCGGCCCCCGGGCTGCCCAGTCCGCCCAAGAAGGCTCCAAGAGCGCCGAGAGAAGCCCAGGATCGCTTCAAGACCGCCAAAGATCGCTTCCAGAAGGGCCAAGAGGCCATCAAACCGCCCCAAGAGGCCTCCAAGAGGCCCCCCAAGAGCGCCCCGGGAGACCAAAATGGCCCCATTCCTTTCGTAAAACGTACATTTTTACGATATCAGCTCCCTTAGCTGTCGGAGCGGTCCGAAAGCCCCACGAGGCGCCCTAGGATAGCCCGAAGACAGCCCAGGAAGGCCTCCCGGGACGCTCCTCGGGCGGCCCCCGGGCCTCCCAGTCCGCCAAAGAAGGCTCCAAGAGCGCCGAGAGAAGCCCAGGATCGCTTCAAGACCGCCAAAGATCGCTTCCAGAAGGGACAAGAGGCCATCAAACCGCCCCAAGAGGCCTCCAAGAGGCCCCCCAAGAGCGCCCCGGGAAACCAAAATGGCCCCATTCCCTTCGTAAAACGTACATTTTTAGGATATCTCATCCCTTGGCTGTCCGAGTTGTCAGACAGCCCCAGGAGGCGCCCAAGGACGCCCCAGGACGCCTGAGGACAGCGCTAAGAGGGCCTAGGAGGGCTTCCTGGGACGCTCCTCGGGCGGCCCCCGGGCCTCCCAGTCCGCCCAAGATGGCCCAAGAGACTTCCCGGTCGCCCCGAGAGGGCCCCCGGAGCGCTCCGATACGGCCCAACATGGCCTCCAGAAGGGCCACGAGGCCGTCAAGACGCCCCAAGAAGGCTCCAAGAGGCCTTCCAAAAGGGCCCCGGAATCGCCACGGAATCGGACCCGTGCTTGCGAACACCGTTTTCGGAGCAAACTAGAACCTAAGCGCGCGCGAAGCGCGCGCGTGGTTCTAGTTTTCATATTGTGTAATTGTGGAGGGGAGGGAGAGGAGGGGAGGAGGAGGGAGGCGGGGAATGCGAGGGGAGGGAAGAGTGAAGAGAGGTGCGGAGGACGCGATAGGAGGGGGGGACAACGATAAGAGGACAGTCCGACAGCCGCGCCGCTAGCCCGACGCCTCTTCTCCTTGTGTTGTGGTCCTTCGGAAGCACATCAGTTGAGTCATCTCCCTTTTTGGCGAGATCATCAGAAGGTCTTCTTGTCGCCGCGGCTGGACCCAGCTCAAAAACTATGGCATACGCCTGGGCGATAAAAAACAAGCAATGATTCAGCTGATTTCGGTTGTTTTGTTTACTAATCCATGCCTTTCTTGCGTCGTGATAGCCATTGTTGCGCAAGCGACAGCATCAATTGCTTCAAGCGAGCGTTTTTTTTATTTTTTTTTTCTCTGCACTCGCATGTCGTCTCATATTGATCCAGAGTTTGAGAAGATTCTTAAACAACTAGACCTGATCGAATTCATCCATCCATTGCAAAACTATGGAGTGTACTGTATTGGCGACGTGGAATCCGGTGGCGCTGCCGCGCGATTCCGCCACCGCGCTCGGGCGTGCGCCCGGGTGTGTGTGTGTGTGTGTGTGCGTGTGTGTGTGTGTGTGTGCGTGTGTGCGCGTGTGTGTGTGTGTGTGTGTGTGTGTGTGTGCAGGGTGTGGGGGGTGAGGCCATGGAACGTCCTTGTGTCATTTCGTATTTGGGCACGTTTTTCTCGGCGAACAAAAAACGCAGAGACTTGGTCACACAAATGAGCCGCATCTTGGGCTCGATGCGCCTCCATTTGTTGCTTCGTGAGGAGCGAAAGGGTTCGAGACGCACCTACCGTTGCAAGCGCGGTGGCGGATATTTGAAGGCAGAAGAACTGACGTCGTTCGGCATTCCTTTGGTGAGTGCGCGGGAACGATTGACGATGCGCGGCGCAGATGAAACCGTAATTGAAGCCATCTTCCCAGGATGCCAAGCGTTTGGGGCCGACGCCGCCGCCGCCGCCTGCCAAAATGGCAAAGCTCTTGCGATGGGTTCACACATATTTCAATACGTTCACGTAATTCAATACAGCATGTGTGAATGCACAAGCTTTCATTCGTTTCTCTCATAAGAAATCAGAGAAACACGTTTTTATTTAAACAGCGTTTCCATACAACAAACAATATCCACAGCGGGAACGCAGTAACATCTCTAATATCTTTTCCTGGTCATGGAAATGTTTGTTCCAAGCATGTTTTGAACCTCCTTTGAAACACATGCGAAACTAAGGGTTTTCTTGGACATGCGCCAGTTCTTCATGCAAACGCAATGTTTCCAACATCTTTACCAATTACAAAATGATTCCTTTTGTGGCGGAGTGCAACGTCATTTCGTTTGTGAAGGAATGCAAACGGATTCCTTTGTGGAGGAATGCAAACATATTTCCGTGGTGGCGGTATACACACGGATTTTTTCTGTGGCGGAATACAAAAAGCTTTCCTTGGTGGCGGAATTCAGAAGGATTCTTGTTGTGGCGGAATGCAAAAGGATTTCCTCTGTACCGGAATGCAGGAGGATTTCTGTTGTGGAGGAATACGTACAAAAGGATTCCTTTTGTTGAGGAGTACAAGAAGGATTCCGTTTGTGGCGGGCCCCCGCCCCCACATCCCAAGGACGACCCCCTATTCCACAACGAATGCAAACAAATTCGTTGTGAGGCAATATGTTTCTTTTTCGTTGTTTTGCCGATCGGCGCGGGCCTTTGCCCCCCCCTTTTGAGTAGATGTTGGATGTTGCCGGCGCCTGTTTCAAGCAGGCGGGGTCTCCGGCACAGGACGCACCGTTGCAAACAGTGGCCTTCAGCAGAGGTCCAGAGCCAGAGTTGCCCTCTCCCCCGCCCCTTCCCGCCCAATGTCGAAACGCCGATTTAGAAAGCGCTCGCCTTACTGTCGTTCGCAAGTGGTCGGTTGGGGTTGCGGGTTTCCTGGCCGTCGCTGCCCGGCGGGGTCCTCGTTGGAACCTTGTTCGCTGGCTCGGGTGGCCAGGCTTCTGGCCCAGTCGCCGCCCGTGGGCGCCTCGTGCCTGTTTTCCGTGGGCTGGGTTTCCGCGGTTCGTGTTCGGCCAGGAGTGTCCTCCTACAGGCATATTTTTGGAAACACATGAACAAACAACAGTCAACACATACCCCAAAAAATCGTCAACAATAGTCAAAATAACCTCCCGAGACAATTCTTCGGACTGTTTTTGCATATTCCTCCTGTAGAGGTGCATGCCCGATTTAGGGCTCGCTCTTCTTCCAGTGTCTAACATCCTCCAGCACGTCAGTAACTGGTTGCTCACAGGGTGTCCGCCCTCTCGTTTGAGTCCAGTTGTCCATCCGTATCCGAAGATGATGGCGTGATCGGGGTCGCCGGAATCTTCCAGAGAGGACTGTTGGGAGTGCCCTGGCTGACCCCACTTCCGGTTTTACCGGTAACATCATGTCCGTCGGGTTTGTCCTAGCCATGATGGCCCACCCCTTCCTTGCAACAGCTCGCCTTGGAATCGTCCGTGGAGTTGGACGAGCACGAGACAAATGAGGGGAATGAGTTAAGGCGGCGGAGCATGCGATAGGAAGGATGAGGCAGATTCGGCGCCGAGAGAATTTGATGACGGCTGCGACACGGCTGGGAGTGGGGGCGTGAATGCATGCGCCACCATTTGTGATGGGTGGGGTTGATGATGAATGCGTGTGGCGAGCTCTAGTAGAAAGGGCCTCGCTTCTGGTGCATCTCGCTCATGGCGGAAGACAAGCTGAATCCAGCGGACCGGAGATGGCGCCAAGTCCGCAAGCGGGAGGTCGGCGGACGGCTGCGAAAGTAAACGTAGGATGTGAACATTTCCTGGTTTAGTTTGTGTTTTCAGAGTCGGCGAGCGGGCAGGGGAGTGGTGGGGAGGCAGGAAGGGAATTGGGGATGGGACGCTAAGACAACCCAAGGTGTTGGGGAGATTTGGGGAGGGAGTGACAGGGAATAGGGCAGTGGTTGGACAAATGAGTTGTGGATAATGATGATGCTGATGCTGATGATGCTGATGCTGATGCTAACGATTATGATGATGCTGATGATGATAAAGACAAAGGTGTTGACGATGCTGATGATGACGACGATGATGCTGCTGATGATGATGATGCTTATGGTGATGGTGATGGTGATCATGATGATGAAGAGGAGGAGGAGGAGGAGGAGGAGGAGGAGCGGGAGGAGGGTGAGGAGGGGTGCGGGCGAGGTGAGAGACTTGAGCGACCCGGTGGTGGTGAAGGCGATTGACGCTTGCAAGACCAGCCGGGTCCGCCGTCCAACGCCCACCGTTGACAACAATGTGTTGATTGTCCTCGAATCGTTTCTCATTCCTTCGTCATTTCTTTGCCCATCTTTGCCATATCATGTCCGTGTCTATCCGTAAGGGCTTCGCCCCTGCCGCCAGCCCCCTCTCTATCATCGTGGGATATGTGATATTCGCGTCGGTGCGTCTCGGCGCTGCCTTGGCGCATCTGGGCACATCATGCGGGAGCGGATAGGAATCACCAGCGCATATTGAGACGTTGTCGTTCTCCTAGTGGCCTTCGGTCCATCTCGCCACCGTGCCTTTGTTGTGGGTTTGGGGTGTCGTAGAGAGCCTTCTGGAGCCCCTTGGAGGTGGTTTGGGCGCCGATGCGGGGCCTCTTGGGGCCTCGTGGGGTATGTTTTGGGCCTATTGGAGGCCTCTTGGGCACATCTTTGGCGCCTCTGGGGGTCACTTTGGGCCTTTTTGGCGGTCTCTTGGGGCGTCCTGGGGCCTTCTCTGGGTACAAATACCGAATGTTCGGTTCGTGGTCCCCTGCTTGTGCCTCTCTTGGGGCCGTCTTGGAGCTCTCTTGGGCCGTCTTGAGCGCTTCGTGGGCCATTTGGGAACCCTCTATGGCCGTATTGGGGCCCTTTGGAGGCGTCTTGGGCTGCCTTGGGGCGGTCTTGGTGGGAGTTTCTTGAGCCGTCTTGGAGCGTCGGAAAGCCGAACATGCGAGAAGGCCCAAATCCTTTCAAAACATTAGTGATATCTGCGATTCTGGCCTCTTGGGGCTCTTGGGCCTCTTGGAGCGCTCTTGGAGCCTCCTTGGGCCCTCATGGGCCGTCTCGGAACCATCTTCGGGCGCCTTGGAACACTCTTGGCTTCGAATTCTGGCATGCTTTGCAAAGGTTTACGGCCTCGGGGACGCGAGTATTGCATTTTTTATGAGGGTTTGTTGCCTCGGGGACGCGCCAATTGCGTACTTTACTTGGATTTGTCGCTTCGGGGACGCGAGGATTTTACGAGGGTTTGTTGCCTCGGGGACGCAACACTCGCGTGCTTTACGATGGTTCATGGCCTCGGGGACGCGAACATTGCTTAATATAAGAGGGATTATGGCATCGGGGGCGCGAGTTTAATGTATTTTTACGTCTCCCACGCCCCCCCAGGAATTCAGGCAACGCGATCCGGGGGTGGTAACCGAGCGGTTTGTGGCTCCCACCCTCGCGCGGACTTAAACAATTTACAGTAGGAAGCAGAAAGCAGGACTGTAACATTGGAGACTTGAAACTGCAACTGGTGCAGGGAGCAGCAACTTCGCCCTACAGTCTGGTGGCTCCAGAAGGGGGCCGGCGGAGTTCTACCTCTCTATCTCTCCCGCTCTCTCTCTCTCTCTCTCTGCTGTTGTCCTTCGTAATGCACGTACACATATAATATATATATATATATATATATATATATATATATATATATATATATATATAATATATATATATATATATATATAGATATGTATATATATGTATATATATATATATCCCTCACTATCATTCTCCTTCGTCGCCTGCTCCCTGTATTGCTAAGGCCTTCCAGCCGGTGCCGCCGACCCTGAAGACGACGACGACGAATACGTGGAGGAGGAGGAGGAGGAGGAGCAGGAGGAAGGGTATTAAGGTGGAAGGGAGCAGGAGAAGGCGAAGGAGGTATTCCCCATGTGGGCCGAGGGAGTCGTAGCAGAGACAGACAGGGAGCCTTGTTGCCTGCGGCCCTTCCCGCCACTGTGCTGGGGTTGTGGTTGAAAGGCCTTTTGGATGTTTTCGGGCCTGTTGGGGCTTCTGTTGGGCCTCTTGGGGGTCTCTTGGGGGCCTCTTCGGGCCCCTTGAGGGGCTTTTGGGGCCTTCTGGGGGATGTCGGTTCGTGGTCCTCTTCCTGGGCCTGCTTGGGGCTTTCTTGGAGCATCCTTGCGCTTTTTTGGGCTCCGGGACGCCCAGGGGCGGATGCGTATCTGACCCCCCCTCCCCCCGGGACCCCCCCCCCTCGGCGGGGGCGGGATCAAAGGGAAGGGGCTTCCCTTCGACTCCAGTACGACGTTGCTACGGTTTTCTCTCGCTGGCAGGCTTGCAGAGGAGGGTGCAGGGCAAGGGGGCGTCGGAGACGCAGGGAAAGAGGACAACGGTTGCGCCGACTGAGCGCACGCCGACAGGGGGTCCACACGCCGATAGGGTCGGTGGATTTGTATTTGTATTTCCCATGAAGCTGTGAGGATTCACGATGAACGTTGAATGAAGAGCGCATGGGTGCAGGCGGAGGCTTTAACAGGACGTGTTACGACTCAACATTATGGAGTTAGGCATGTGAAACTTCAGCAGCTTGCGGTATGATCAAGTGGTTTTTGCTGAATGGCTAGGAAGGGGCGGCCGAAATAATGCAACTCGAGTGTCGGCGACTGTCTGGCGTGGTGTGGAGGCGTGCAGCTAACGGACGTATGCGGTATCTACTTGCTTGCGGAAAGCCCGCCACGATGCCAGCGCAGCCTTCAGTGCGGTGACACTTTGAGCACCGATCAGAAGGCTGTAACATGCAACATCTCTTGCCTCTATTTTTGGACGGTCTATCATTCCAGCTACGAGGAGGAGGAGGAGGAGGAGGAGGAGGGGGATGAGGAGGAGGAGGATGATGAGGAGGAGGCGGAAGAGGAGGAGGAGGAGGTAGGAGGAGGAGGAGGAGGAGGAAGGGGAGTAGGAGGAGGAGGAGGAGGAGGAGGAGAGCAGGAAGACAGGGAGAAGGAGGAGGAGGAGGAGGAGGAGGAGGAGGAGGAGGAGAAGGAGCAGGGGGAGAGGGAGAAGGAGGAGAAGAAGGACGAGGAGGAGGAGGAGGAGGCTGGGCCATTTTGGGACTGTGATGGGTTCCCGTGGGGCCCTCTTGGGTAATTTTTGGGACCCTCTTCGCCTTCTCCGAGGCCCTCTTGGCACCCTCCAGTGAGCGCAGCAGAACTCCAGCCCTTGAGGAATTTCATGTGTGTGCTTGAAGGCTTTCGGCTTCCCTGGCTGACCTCTTGGCCTCTTCTCACGTGCGGTGTACGCCTCTCTGTGCCTTCTGCGCCTCTTGTGTCGGGGTGATCTGAGGCGCTGTTGGGCGCCTCTCGAGGCATTGTTGGGCCGCCTTGGTGACCTTGGGCTTCCTGGGCCGTCAGCGGGCGGCCGCGGCCCGACGACGGGCGAACCGCCCCTCTGAGCCTCGCGGCCTCCCTGGCGCTGGGTGCGAGCTGGGTGGGTGGCCGGTGAGCACTGCCGCCGTGCGGCGCGGCCGGCAGGCGGAGACGAGTCGTGCCGAGGGCGCGAGGGGTGAGCGGGCTGCCGTCGCTCAGTAGTGGCCGCAGGCTGGGAGGGGGCCGTGGTGCCAGCGGTCCCTGGGGGGAGGAGGAGGGAGAGGGCGGGAAGGAGGAGCTCGAGGGCCGCCCCGCTCCGCCTCCCCCTCGCGGGTCCTCACCTCCCTCCCGTTTCCCACTCTCCTGGCGGTCTGGGGGCACCTCCGCAGGGCCCCGCCTCAGAGCCCTCCCCTCTCGGGGGTCCTCCCCCCCCCCCCTCCTCGCCACTCCGGGGCCGTCGCGGAAGGGTGTCCTGGCTTTGTGCGCCGCGTGCGAGCTCCCAGGGCCCTCTCGCGGCCTCGGAGCGGCCGAGCAAGGAGTCAGGAGGAGCGCCAGTCTCGGGCAGCGGCCTGGGGTCCAGGACCCGCGTCTCGCCAGACCAATTTGTCGCAAGGCAGGTTTCCCAAACTCTCTCCTCCTGCCCTCCCTCCTCCCCCCTTTTCGCCTCGTCGTCCCGCCAGGACCCGCGCCTCTCAGGACCACATTGGTCGCATGGCATTCTTCCCAAAACTCCCCCCTCCTGCCCTCCCCCCCCTCCCCCACCCTCCCTGTTGGCTCCTCGTCGTCCCGCCCCTCCTCGCCGAAGCGCGCTCCACGACTCGCGGAGTGCCTGCTCACAGATGTCCGAAACATCTGTGTGTCTGCCTCGCGGGAAAGTATGGGAAAGTCTGGGGAAACGTGTGGGGAAGACGAGCACCCAGAAAATAGATGGAACATATGGGGAATCCTGGGATTTGTGTCTACGTAGCACACCGCAGATGCGGATAAGAATAGGAACGGTGGGGACGTCGGCAGTTTGCGAGACTCTGGAAAAGCCCGCCGCAGGCGCCAAAAAGTTCCACAAGCTATGCAACAAGCCCTGGGAAGGCAGCGATTTTGTCGTTAGTCCAATGTGGGTAGGTCGCGGGTGGGTCGCGGGTGGGTCGCAAATGGGTCGCGGGTGGGTCGCGGGTGGGTCGTTGTTGGGTCGCGGGTGGGTCGCGGGTGTAGAGGCAGAAAATTCACCCCATGATAATCACCCCGACAAGCGAAGCCGTTCAGTAAACGCACACAAGGAGTGAATCGAACAGGGCAGGGCTGATTTGTAAACGCCCAGGGCCGTTTAGTAAACGTCAATTGTCGGGTCCGGGTGTTTTTTCCTCCCTTGAGGGTGGGTCACGGGGTGGGTCGCGGGTGGGTCGCGGCGTGGGTCGCGGGTGGGTCGCGGATGGGTCGCGGCGTGGGTCACGGGGTGGCTCATCGCATGGTGGGTCGCGGGTGGGTCGCGGGTTGGGTCGCGGGGTGGGTCGCGGGGTGGGTCGCGGGGTGGGTCGCGGGGTGGGTCGCGGGATGGGTCGCGGGGTGTGTCGCGGATGGGTCGCGGGTGGGATGACGACAGCAAACAACAGCAACAACAACAACCACGCAACAAGCAGACTTCTCACCACGAATTCCTTATTCAGCCACGCACCCAGGGGCAATTAATGACCGTTCAGCCCCCTACTCTGATCTATGTGTGTGTGTGTGTCCCAGGGCGTATTCCAATGTGTCGTAGATCCTCCGCGGCGGATCGAGGCTATTTGCGAGCAGTTATTTTGCAAGCAGTGGATTGCGCTTGTCTGCCTCCATCCTTTCCCGCCCCCCCTCTCTGCAATGCGGGCAAGAGTTCTGTCCATATCAGGTGCGCCTTGGACTTTCTGGGAAGGGACGCCACAAGGCCGTGGCGCACTGGCTATGGATAACCATCGAGCCTCTGGGGGGCAAACTTATCCACATCCAGTGCGCCTCGGGTTTCTGGGGAAGGGACCCCTACACTCCATTCTGCAGTGGATACCTGTCTCCCCTCCCCCCCCCCTCTGCTCCTCTCCGTGATCGGAGGGGACGGGCGGCCCCGACTCTGCCCGCCAGGGCCCCCCCGCCCCCGCCCTTGGGCCCTCCTGGGCGCCCCTCGCACCCGCGGAGACTACCTCCAACGCTCAGTTAATGGCGAAGACGCAGGTGCGCCCATTGACGATCGGCCGCGAGCGAGGGGGCGAAAGCGAGAAGGAGAGGGCCTTCCCAGAAGGCGGCAGGACTTGTTCGAAGCCCTCGGAGCCCTGTGAGGATTCCTCTGTGTGTTCGGGAAGGTTTAGGAGATTTCGCGGAAGGCTGGGCCGTGCTTTCTGCGAAGGCCCACCCCTTCTCACTTCCCCCCCTCGCTCGCCGCCGAGACAAGGGTGATGGGCTGATTTTCCACCACCACCACTGCTAGAGGTAGAAAAGGTAGGAGGAGGAGGAGGAGGAGGAGGAGGAGGAGGAGGAGGAGGACCTCCCCACCCCCATCCTCCCTTCTCCCCCGTCCTACCTATGGTAGTGTTGGTGGAAAATTCGCCCATCAAAGGGCATCCGCGCTTCAGCTGCGTCGCAATCAGTTGCATTCGGTCGGTTCGGTTGGCCGGTGTGTTGTTGCTGCGCTGCTGCGCCGTTCTAAGCTGCTTGCGGGGGCTGCCGTATTCGGTCTGTTTCTGTTTCGCTGTCGGTTCGGCCAGTGTTCAGTTATAGCATGTGCAGGGGATTGTTTGGAGGGTCTACCCTCCTTCACTCGAGTCGGACGACGCAAATCAGGGGGATCGGGACAGGGGGCGATGCGAAATCTGCTGCGGGCGGCTGGTTTCGGCTCTGCCGCCAGGGCCTTTGATCGATGCTTGACCGCCTCCGGCGCCAGGAGGTGCCAGAAGAACAGCTGTATGAAGATGATGCACCCCCCCGTCTTTCGGCCGCCCCGATCTCCCCTCTCACCCGTCCATTCCCCCATACTTCCCCCGATTGAGACGTGCAATTTCTCGCAAGCCCGAGCGAATCCCAAGTCCGTCCCTCAAGGAGGAACGGGAGAAGCATGCGCACGTCGTTGTTGCAAGTTCCCCTCTCCTCAGCGGAAGAGGCGGAGGAGTGCCCGGACACCCGATGTCGTTCCTGTTTTCATGACGGGGACCCCCTGCGGTCTGGACCCCTTCACCGGGAGTGTTTTTGTTTATCCCGAGTCGGTCGTGTGGCCCCGTAGGGGCGCCCCGAGGCCGAACGTTGGGAAACATCTCCCTTCATGCTTTAGTAATGATCTGATGGGGTCTCAGGAGGAGGAGGAGGAGGAGGAGGAGGAGGAGGAGGAGGAGGAGGAGGGGGAGGAGGAGGAGGGGGAGGAGGGGGAGGAGGGCAGCGAGGACGAGGAACGGGGATGGCGACGACGACGACGAGCTCCCCTCCGCCGACGGCAGGTCGAGCTGCCCACCCCGGCACCCCCGGAGGTCGCGGGCTCCGCCTTGTCGATCACCGGGCCGGCCGGTCGCGTGGAGGAGCGCCGCGCCCCGCGCCCCTTCGGCCAAGGAGTCAGGGGCAGCGTCAGTCAGGGGCGCAAGAAGGACGTACACGGACACGAGTTCGGGTTGGTTTCGAAAGCGCGCATTGCGCGAACGCTCCTATCCCGAGGCTGGCTTTGCGGACTGGGGGGCCGTATTCGTGCACGTGGCTGGGCGCGTACGTCCTTTGTGGGGCTCCTTAGCTTTGGCCACGGAGTCAGGGGCAACGTCAGGGGGGAGACAGGCGCAGGAGGGGGGCGAAGTTTCGAGTTCCGAGGTTCGAGTTTGTTCGGGCCTTTCCGTCGGGTCTCGTCCGCTTTCCAGCCTTGGATGCTTTCCGGCGGCTGCGCCTCGCCGAGAGCGTTCCGCAGGGGTGCCCAGATCGTCGCGAACGGCCGCCGGAGAGTCATGACCCAGAGACCTGGGAACTGCGTAAGGGGGGGGTAGGCTTAGGGGGGATGCGCCGACCCCCAATCGCCCACGGATCGTCAATAGGGATCTGATGGCCCTCCCTGCCCAGGAACCTGCGGATTCGCCATCAGGGGCCTGTAGCCGATCTATCGGCGATGTATCGCCTGTTCGGGCTCGATGTTATCCCCCCTGAGCCAGTCCCCCCCCCGTAACGTTACCCCCCATGCCCGAACCTGGGGGGCATTGCCTTGCGCCCTCTCGCCTCTTCGCTCCCGACGGTTGCGGAAAAGAGCAACGGCACAAGCAAGCTTTCGGAGGTCTGGATCTCGTATTTTTGGCCTCCTAGATGGGGTCGCAGTAAATGGGGTCGGAGTAGACGGGGTTTGCATCGCCGATGCATCGCCGATGCGGTTCGATGTGGGGCCCGATTTGCTTCACGTCGACGTCGCCGACGCATCGCCGACGTCGACGATGCATCGCCGGCGATGCTGATGCATCGCCGATGCATCGCCGATGCATCGCCGATGTATCGGCGATGTATCGGCGATGCGGCGCGACTCTCCGACCGCATCTGCTCCGATCCCATCCAGGAGGCCTCTATGGATCCTTGGACCTTGGATCGGCGCTGGACTCCCTGTCTTGGCGCGCGAAGCGCGCCCTGGGCGACGCATAGGCACCTCCATGGGGGGTCCACCGCCGATCCCAGAAGTTACCGCGGACCCCTAAGGTTCATGCCTACGTATTTGTTTCTTCCTTCCAGATGCGTTTTCGAGGCCTTAAGACGAGTCCAATGTGGCTCAAGAGAGCCCCACGGTCCGGAGAGCGCGCGCCCGAGGAGGGCCCCAAGAGGCGACCTTTCGAGCCCAAGGAGTAGATGTGGCGAACCTCCTTGTCGTCCGAATGGCAGTCTATAAGGTATTCGGCGCGTAGGCGGGCGCGCTGTTGGCGCGCCCCCCGCCGCGCACGGGTCGTTTGACTCGGGCTCCGCCCTCTGCCCGCGCACGAGTTGGCCCCCGCCGACCCGAGCGCCGCGCCCATTGATGATGGGGTGCGTTGTGCCTGGGCATGGGCTGATTGACCGATTTTGCACCGCCACTACCATAGGTAGGACAGGGAGAAGGAGAGGAAGTAGGAAAGGGAGGAGGAGGAGGAGGAGGAGGAGGAGGAGGAGGAGGAGGAGGAGGAGAATCAGGAGGAGGACCTACCTAGCTTCCTCCCCCCCCCGGGCCCACCAGCGGCGGCAGGGATGATCCGCGGTCGCATTTGCGGCTGCTGCCCTCCCTGTTCCTCCAGCTCTGAGCGCAACTACACTCCGTGGTCGCAAAAGGACGCGCGGGGGGCTGTCCCCAGACGGAGGTCAGCCCCGCCTGGTCGGCGCGCCGCGCCGTGTGCTTGACTGCCCTCGGCGTGCTGCGGCTGTTGGCGACGGGGGTCGACTTGGGGCGGTCGAAGGGGGTGGGGCGCCCCGAGCGCTTACCCCCCAAAAAAACACCAGAAGCATAAAAATGTTTGGCGCTCCGCGCGAATCTCTCGGATCCGCGCTGGGCCCCTCCAGCGCCGCCTCCGGCGCCGCCCATGGCGCGCTCCGCGCGCCAGGGAGGCTGGTCCAGCGCAGATCCAAGAGATCCGCGCGGACCGCCAACAGTTTGTATGGTTATGGCGCTCTTTCTTTTTCTATACTCGTACCATGGAGCCCAGATGGATCTGTCTTGTTGCAGCACTCTCCCTCTGGCCCTAGTAGGCTTCCGCCTGCGCGTCTGCCGGCGCAGTCTCGGTCCGTTTCTTGGCCTCGTCCCGCTCCAGCCGCGCGCTCGCCCTCGTCCTGGCTCGCGCCGCCCGTGCCTCGACTCGCCCTGCCTGGAGCTTTCGGTCCTTGCATCGGATCGCCAGAACTTGCGCTCCGGATGACTGCCCCGTGACATGGGGAATTGCAGACCGCTCGCTGCAGGCAGGTATTTCCTTACGTGCTCCCAGACCAATTTCTGTTGCCATCCGCCTATTGCCTGGGCGGGCCGAAGCACAACTTACGCTTTACCGTCTTCCTGCTTCACGGTCCTGCCAAGTCCTCCCGATCGGTCCGTAAGTTTGTCTCTGATGCTCGTGCGTTTTTATGCCACGTTTTGTTTCGCCTCACACTTCCTGCTCCTTTCTCGGTGCGTCCCGTCTCGCTTAGTCTGTTCACGAATCGTCTCATGCTGGTGCTTTCTGTACTAGTTAGTCTCATGCTCCGGTGCCTCCGTTGCCTCGTCTTCCCTTCTGCATCAGGTCGCCTTTGGCCCGTCGTGGTGCACAGTCGTGCGCCACGGCGTACCCGTGCCCATGCGGTTTAGGTATTCGGATGTTGCCTGGCTGAAGGGTTTATAGCTAGCCGTTTTGGCTCAATACCTCTTCCAGCGACAGTGGGGAAGTTTGCTAAGGAGTCATGGATCCAAGTTCCCCACGTGTGGTGGGCGCAGTTCTCGCCGTGTGGGTGGCCCTTAGCGCAAGCCTCATCATCTTCAATGCTGAACTACTGAACAGTTTCCGGCATCCAGTCCTGCTGACTTGTTGGCATCAGTTTGTTAGTGTCGTCTTGATTTTGTGTGTGCGCGCAGCATTCCCATCGCTAGTCTCAACGGGCGACCCCGAGAGAGGCATTGCTCCCCTGACCCTGTGGTCGGCCGTGGGAATGGGGCTGCCCGTGGCGGTGTGCCAGAGCATCGGCTTAGTGTCTGGCAACACGGCGATCATGTATTTGAGCGTTGCGTTTTGCCAGATGATCAAGGCGTTCACCCCCGCGTGCGTGTACGCGAGCGGCTGCGCCTTCGGCACCCAGCAGTGGTCGGTCCCGATCGCGAAGTGCCTGTTCATCATCACCTTCGGCCTGATGGTCACCAGCTTAGGCGAGCTGAACTTTAACTTGTTCGGCTTCGTGATGCAGGTGATAGCCTTGGTATCGGAGGGCCTGCGCATCACCTTCCTGGAGCTGCGCTTGAAGGCTCAGGGGCACAAGCTGAACGCGCTGTCCTCAGTGATGGTGTTCGCCCCAATGGTCTGCGTGATGTTGTTCCTCTCGGCTCTGGTCTTTGATCAGTCGGCCTTCGACGTGGAGCAGATCGCCGAGATCGGCGTGGGAATCTTCGGTGCCAACGCAGTCGTGGCCTTCCTGCTGAACGTCGCGATCTACCTGGCCATCCAATGCGCCTCTGGCCTTGTCTTTACGCTGGCGGGGATCTTGAAGGACTTCCTGATCGTTGCTGGGAGCTGCGCGCTCCAAGGCACCCAGATATCGACAACCCAGCTCGTCGGGTACACGATGGCGCTGGCGGGTCTCCAGGCGTACGGCGTGGTCAGCAGGTCCCCGTCGGATTTCGAGGACGGGGTCGTGATGGCAATGCTCCGGAAGGCTCTCGACGGCGAGAAGGAGGCCAGCGAGCCTTTGAGCCAGATCTCCACGGAGCCGGGAGAGCCGAACAGCTTTGAGGACGACGAGGAGTCGAGCCATGGCCAGGCCAAGTCAGGGGCAGCTTGGCTCGGGAACTGGAGTGAAGACACCCGCGCTGTCGAAGTGGTAGGTTGAAGGCACAGGTGCCAGCAGTTCCGGTCCATTTTGTAGTCTGGCTGCGGGCAAGCGTGCTTACAGAGCGTGTCGGGAATCAGGGGCCGTTCTCCCACCACGCTCCCCGATAGTTGCGGAGTAGGGGGTGCGATTCATCCGTCTTCCCGCCCGTTTTTCTGAGCAGCGCGCACTCCGTACCTCAGAGTGCATTCAAAGTTGCAGAGGGGTGCAGACCTAAAGTGGCTGTTCTCGCATGTATTTCGAACTGCTGTCTTCTGTACTCCATTTTGTACTCTACGCGGGCAGTCGGATATGCAACGACATTTCGATTGTGCACCGTTCGCGCGTAGTTTAAGGACCAGTGCAGCAGTGGGCTTGGGTTTCAGCGATGCCGCCTTGCAGCTGTGCTGCTATCTCCCAGTACATTTGTAGTTTTAGGATTTGTTGTCTGGCTTCAGTCGCAAAGCCGAGAGGGCCCGCAGATGGTTTCTGTAATGTGATAGCGCCACGTACCTGTGGACTCACTCATTCGCTCCTCCTGTTTCTGTGATCGTGTTTTTGCCTGGCTTTGGGGCATTGGGGCTGTGGGGCAGAGTCTGGTGTCTGGATATTCGGCAGCATCGAGATGTACACGGGATGGTTCTGCCGTGGATCAATCACTGGTCCACCTCAACTCTACAATGTTTCTACAATCTACCTCGCTTGCATTGTCTTTCAGGGCCTGGGCTGTCTTGGTGTGTGTGTGTGTGTGTGTCCAACCCCAGTTCGGCGCTCCGTTCCGTAAGTCTCCTCAGAACATTTTACGGGTCATTTAGGAGTCCTGCGGCTGTCTCTTTGCCTTTTGGGGCCGTTGGGGGTATCTTGCGGCCTTCTTGGGTTATATCCTGGATGCCTTTTTGGATGCTTCGTTGAGTTCGCTTGAGGTCCGTGACTCTTCTGCCACAAGCGATGGGCCTGTGCTCAGCCCTGCTGCACCGGAAGGGGACTCCTCGGAAATCTGCAGAAGTCCTGGCAGACACCCCAGGCACGAGCTGATGTGCGCTAGCCTACCAGAGGGCACGTTGCTGGAGTGTCTGGTCTTCCGGAGGTTCCGTGCACGGCGGCCTGTGCAGGTCTCTCGGGTGTTCGGTCGTCTCGTTGCCATGACTCTTGCAGTGTCAGCGTGTCGTGCTCTGTGGCCGCCCGCTATGGCGGCTCCTCTCCCTCCCTGCTCTGCGGCTACTCCTGCTTCTGCCGCTTCTCTGCACCGGCACCAGTATATCTGGGCTCGATTTCTGTCCTGTCCTGCCCCTTCTTTCTCCCTTTCGCGTCACCTCACTGCTGTAATGAGCAGTCAGCTACACGACCGACGTGTTACGGCAACAGGCCGTCATTCTATCACAAATGTTGATCAGATAATAGTGTTATGTTTACGCGACGGTCGCGCAGTCGTGCACCAAGCGTGGAGCGGTTATCTGTTACGCAGGTTATCTGCAGATAGCTGTCCCATCGCTCTTCCTTATAATACGCATAGTCGTGCTCCTGGGAGCTCGTATCATGGCGGCACGCCATTGTGATGCAGAAAGTTCACCCCTTGAGCGGCGACGTGTGAAAAGTGCCAGAACATGTGTTGTGACGCTGTAGCCCTTCCCCCTCGGAGCTTCCGCTCCCACCCTGGAGATCATGGGACTGGCGAGTGGTGCTACCGTGCGTCTCGCTCCGACCCCCCTCCTCCTTCAATCACGTCCTCGTTCCACTTCTCTGTGCGCCCCCTCTCCCCAATCATGCGCACGGTTCTAAGTAGTTGCGCTTCGCGTAACCCCACTCGCCCATCCGGCATGGATCATTGGGCGGGCCAGTTGTTTGGTCTTGGGACGTGTACGGCAGGCCGTAGGAACACAACGGTTCAAGAATTATGAGGATGACGATGATGATGATGATGATGATGATGATGATGATGATGATGATGATGTTGATGCTGATGCTGATGCTGATTACGATGATGATGCTGCTTAAGATGATGATGATGCTGATGCTGATGCTGATGATGATGATGATGAGGATGTTGATGATGATGATGATGATGATGATGATGATGATGATGTTGATGATGATGACGATGCTGATGATGCAGATGATGCTGATGCTAATGCTGATGCTGATGAGGATGAGGATGATGATGAGGTTGAGGATGAGGATGAGGATATGGCTGAGGAGGTGGAGGAGGAGGAGGAGCTGGAGGGGGAACACCAGGCGGAATCGCTCATTCGCCGCGTTTGGGTTTGGGTAACCAGAGGGGACGATGCGGATGATGAAGATGCGGAGGTGGACAACAATTTGGAGGATGAGGTTGTTGAGGGTGAAGCTAGCGAGGTGATATTCTTGGCCTACTGAACGACGACCTGTTATGGGCATAGATCTACGTATACGTGGCGCGTTGTTCCATTATGACCGATCTTCGATGCACCTGGAGGGTTTGTAGGCGCCCGCGAGCTGAGAAGCGAGACAATACAACATTGAAGCACCATGTTTTGGAGTTCAGCCTTACTTCTTGTTGGTGAAGTGAGTTGATGGCTGACTGATGTCTGACTGACTGGCTGACTGGTCGCTCTTGTAGCTAAGCATGCCGTTTGAGTTTTGGCCGTCGTGTGAGCAATTCGTGGTGCAATCGTTAGAAGGTACTTGTTATTCCCAGCCGCTGCATGGGCAACCTTGGGAGCAACCGATAAACAGCACGTTGATGGCCGCTGAGTGCGCAACCTATCATAGCTATGGCAGCATGAATGGCAGGCCACTTTATCTCGAGCCGCCAGATGTGCAACCTAAATCGCATACAGTATCATGCAATTTATATCTCGTCGCCGAGAGCGCAGCCCATGGTGCAGACAAACATCAGGCTTGCTGAGGTGTGACAGCAGTGTGCGGTTCCTAGTGCGCAACCTATCGCGCACTCTGCGGATGACGCCTTTGATGGCCATTTTAAGACACAGCCCATGGAGGAGCGCGTGCACCGCGCAACCCATCCAAGCGATGGACGACGCAGCCTGTGGTCCAGCTTATTGACACGACCAATGACTACATATTTGGCGCAACCTGTGGCATACACACCGTTGGTGGCGCAACCCATGGCGCACCCCTTTGCAGTTTCCCGGGTGATACCGCCGAGTTGCGCTCGCCGTTTGGGATGGCCTGGCGATGGGGGCCAAGCGGCGAGCTCTCTTCTGATTGAATGGGGTTTGCCTCGCGGCGGCAATCTTGGGAGGCGCCCTTGCAATTTCGGACTGGCTTGAAGAGTCTATGAAGCTAGTCGGCGGCCATCTTGAGCATTATGTGCCATGGTTGAAGCCGTCTTGGGCTACCTGGGGTCAGAGCTTGGAGGCATCTTGGACCGTCTTGAACGTTCCAACGCTTCGCGGCGGCCGCCGCCCTCCCTGGGTGGGGGGAGGAGGGGGGAGTAGTAGGACGAGGAAAAGGACGAGGAGGACGAGGAGAGGGAGGAATGAAGATGAGGAGGATGAGCAGGATGAGTTGGAGGATTTGGAGGGGGAGGAGGATGATGATGAGGAGGAGGAGGAGGACTTGAAGTCTTATTATGAGACTCTTGATCGCAGTAGTTGGATTTCACGAGTACCCAGCCCACATGTTGATGCTGAACATACACATATACAGGTGGCCGCGCAGGTTGCTGCTAGATGGAAGCGTGTCCAAAGCCAAGTATCTGCAGAGAGGGATTACGGCAGGGGGCTCTATTGCCACGTACGAGGCGAAAACTTATCTCAAACCTGTTCTAGAGCAGTCTGCAGATCTGGTAGACGATACTGGCAGCATAGCGTACATAGATGACTTGACCTTGGTCTCTTGGGGCCGGGGCGTGAACTACGTCATCGACCAGATGAACACCATTGCGACGATCCTACACCAGGCGCTGGGCAAGCTGCACCTCTCCCTGCCCCCCCCCAAGCTTTGCATGGTGGCTGGTTCTTCTAAGGTTTTTATTTCGGCAGTGGCGCCTGTGGGGAAACTAGGAGGGGAAGCGAGCCAAGCAGCAGTCAATTTAGGGATATCTGACACTTGTGGGAAGCACCAGCGACGCACTGGGGCCCGCCATATGCGGAGAAAACGATGGTTGAATTTGTATTCCAGAAGGTACGCGACCTCCCGGGGAGCAAAGCCAAGCAGCTGAAGAGCATGTTCTTTGCAGTGGGTCCGAGTCCGTCCTTGCATTCGGTGCGTACAGTCAAGGGCTCATACCTAAAGAAATCGACGAAGTCCGTGCACTTTGAGGCTCCGCTTCCAGCAGCCGGGTCAAAACAGCCAAATTAGATTTATGGTGGTGCACTGTCAATGACAAGGATCCGATCGCATGGTCGGGGTCAGGTCTTGAACGATACGCCATGGAATGGTGGAGCAGCAGCTCGACCAGAACGGAGCTACAGACTCATGCCGACGCCCTGTCGGTCAGGTAGTTACGGGATGCGTACGAGCATGCAGTCCACGATCTAGCTAGCAGCAGTAAGAAAACATGGCATGGTAAAGTGCGAGGTCCAATGACTTTTCCTCTCCTGTGGGTAGACCATGTTGGCTGGAAGTTTAGGGCAGCAGCGAAGCTGGAAGATACAGAAGGTAGGGTGTGGAGTTTGTCAGAGACAGCGCCGGAAAAAAAAAAATGATTAGCACAGAGTTCCGCAAGCAGTCCAAAGACAGCTAGGTCCAGAGCTATGCTAAGGAAAAGCTACCTGCTGACGCTGATGTTGCAATCTCCGGCTTATGGTTGGGGCCTGTTTCAAAGACAGCTCCCTCTCGCAAGGCTGAGTTTCAGGGAGCAGCAGCTTGTCCGGAAGGTTTTCTGCGACGCTCTGGTCACAGGGGAAAAGCTGCAAACATGGGGTTACTCTGGAATTGGAAAGTGCCCCCTATTGCGGCTGCCCCGATACGTGCTTTGATCGACTTTGGGAATGCCTACATGGGCAAAGTATACGTTCGGAACTCTTTGGGCACATCTCGGAATAAGCAATCGCGCACCCAACTCATCCGCTATTCTCCAGGCTGTGGGCTGCGGAACCTGAGATCCCCGGGCCAGCGCAGGACCGGGGCATCGAAATGCTAGATCAACATGGGCCGTGCCGGGGACAAACGTTTGACCCAGACCTCCCTGTCTTTGTTGACGGGTCCACCATGGGCCCATCGCACCTTGAAATCCGCGGGGGGGGGGGGGGGGGGGGGGGGGGGGGGCTTGGCAGCGGTTCAGTTTAATGTTGAATGCGAGCTTCTCTTGGCAGTGAGATCCCCTTCTGCATGCAGACTTTCCTCGGACCCCTGCCCATCGCGAAAATGCAGGGCTAGCCATGGCCCGTATCCATTTGACATTTCCTAGGTCAGCACAATTTGCGGTGTATTGTGCAGCCCTTCTTAGAGGTGCCCGCTTCCCAGGCGCCGCACTAGCAGGCAGCTGCTTCTTTGGGGGGCTCTGGGGAACTATTGGGCTCCACCTTCCGCCCGACCAGTTGACGCAGCTGCGCCAGACCAAGGCGCGCCGCGACAGGGCCATCGTCGAGGACAGTGAGTTCGACGAATGGTTGGGCAATAGGGCGGCAGACTGGCACGCTGGCGAGGCTGCCCGAAAGCATGCCCTACCCAGGCAAGATGCGGAGGCCCATGTGGAGGCTTTCCAGGC